AAAAGATACAGATTACATAGACTTTTTAGTTCTCGAGTATCATGGATCAGAAGTTCACTTTAAATTTTAAAAAGAACAAAGAAATAGACCTACTATTTTACTTCTTAGCAAGAGTCTAAGTGACTGTCTCCACAATTAAATGCCACATGCCCTTGTGTCACCTCCAGACCCATCCCAAGCTACAGATTACATAGACTTTTTAGTTCTCGAGTATCATGGATCAGAAGTTCCAGGTACATCACCAGAGAACTGCAGCTGCCAAGTCACCGCAGACCCTTTATAGCTTTTATCTAAGTAACTGTCTCCACAATTAAATGCCACATGCCCTTGCGTCAGCTCCAGACCCATCCCTAGCTGTTTAAAGGGCCACCAGCTATCTACATGCCCTTCCCTTTCCCTGGAAGATCTGAAATATCCTGGAGAAACAGGCTGGAGAGGACCAGACAGGTGTGAGCTGGGACCCTCACACCCAAACCATAAAGATTTGAAATAGAACAAAATAAGAGCATGGACTATGCTACAGAGAGAAATAGATTAGCCACTAGAGTGGCATCAATAGAAAAAAGGCCCAAAGACACCCAGCCTCACAGACCCCCTCTTTTCTAGCTCTTTAGCTATCTGGGCTTCCTCGTCATTTCTGAGTCTGGATCTGCAAACTGGTTTTGCATGAATTGAGTACTTTATCTATAAGGCATTAATCAGTAAATATTCTAATTCCTTCACCTACACTACAATAGATATCAAGAGCAGCCAATTCACAATATCAAGCACTAAATGCAAAATTCCTCCTGGTGGTTTTCTTCCTTGCCTAGTTAATGTCTAATCCATATATTTGTTTTCTCCTAAGATAATATTGTTAGGGTTCCTTTCTGAATTTCTGCTCCAACTTTCAGCAAAGTTTTCCCTTACATGGATAAAAATAAGAATAAACAAAATTAATCCTCCATCAGTTGGCCTGACTGCCCTGTAGCTGTCCTTTTTCAATTAAAAAATTCTCCTGCACCTGGTCACTTCTTTCATCTAAAGCTCTTTGCCTTTTAGAGTTTAGATATGTTTTAAGGAAAGTTTATATGATCCATATTTTCTCACTAAATAGTTTCCCTCTCAGGATTAGACCCTTTATAGCTTTTATCTTTAACAGAGTGTTCTTAAATAAAACATGCACATTTTCCCACTAATGGTATCACAGAATTAATTTAAATATAAAACAATATTTAGAAAAACAGTTCTAATTTTACTTTCAGTGAAAACTTCAATTCGCTTTTTTATTCTAATATAACCAAAGACTGTTCATTAATTCATTCATTTATTTCAACAACTATAGCTACTACACTCTAGTTAATGTGCTAAATGCTAAGGAAACAGTATTCACATGAAATATGATTGTTAAAACAGACATTAATTTGATTATTTGAAACATGATATGTAATTTTTAATCAATCAATAATGATTGGTGCTAAAAGAACTTAAACACAGAACCTTGCGAAGAAGGATAAGTAATATGAATAGAGGGGGGAAAGCTTGTGCAAAGGTCCTGAGGCAGCAGAAAGTGTAGCCTTTGTAAAGAATTAGAATAAAAGAGATCAGTGTAGCTAAAGTAGAGCAAGAAAAAGGTCAAGAAAAGAGGCAAAATCAGGGAGGGAGTCCTTTAAGCTAGGTTAAGGATTTTGGATTATATTCTAAGGGCAATTAAGACACTCTTAAATGGCTTTAAGGAGAAAAGTGACATGATGCAATTTGAGATTTTAAACCATAATTCTGTGTTCTGCAAGGGGAATAAATTTAAGAAGAAAAAAATGGATATAGGTGACCAGTTAGAAGGTTTTGAAACATGGGCTTCTTCAGCAAATCACAGGAGCAACTCAGAACAGAATTCAAGATTTTTAACTCCTTGTCCATCATCCAGACTTGACATTCCATGAGATTTTACAAAAACATATTTATATGACATATTTATTTGAATTTATTGTGAAAATTGCTGACAGTAAGTCTTAAAACTGACCATTGTATAATTACTAACCTGTACTAAAATATCACCTTTAAATGATATGTTTTCTATTGGTAAAGCTTAGGTAGCCAATCACTAATAACTAAATTTCGAATTTTTAACTATGACTTTTTAGAACATTTAACTATGGCTTATTTCTAATGAGCAAAGGCTAAAGTTTTTATAAATTGGAAATTCAAACTTTGGGATAATTCCTTTTGAAATATTGTGTGTCTTACTCAAAAATAGCAAATTTAACAAGCTCGTTTCACTTACCCACCAGCAGTGCATGGCCTAAAATATCGTAGAACACATTACTGTCCACCTTCAGGCCCACGGTCCCGGACATGCTGAGGCCTCGGCTGAAGGAGCCCCACACGGTGCAGCTCTGTATGTAGGAATCTGAGTAGCGAAGGGTAAGGTAACAATTAGAAGGGAACCTGAAAGGCTCTTCAGATTTCGATCTCTTTGGAGATCATTTCCAAAGCAAGCTATAATATAACTAACAACATTCTCCCACACAATGATGAAACTCGGGAAATGAGGATTTGGAATTAGAAATCGAATTTTAAAAATGGGCAACTCTACAAGAATAAGCAGGGTAGAATGCTGGGGTCCAACCCCAGCAGGTCCAGGGGTCCCCAAAGGTGTGGATGGAGGCAGCGAAGAAGGAATTACACAGAG